CTGTGAACTTGACCTGAGTATTAAAACCCCTTTTATTTACCTTCATTTGCAGGTGTGTTTAGTAAAAATGGAGTGATAATTTATTGAATATATGCTGTATTCTTTGAAATTGCAATGGTTACATATCTACTGAAATTATATAATAGTTCCTCTTAATGTTTCATTTAATGTTGAGATTCCCATACATCTATGGTTTGTTTATTTGAACATGTGGTTCTCAGCGACAATCTCCACATGCATTTAACAATTTAGATCACTTATAATCTCAAATTTGATTTAAAAACATATAAATCAACCCCGAGCAAGGAGAGCAAAGCCGGTTTATTCCCTATAAACTGTTGAAGCCTGTTTTTATGACACGAGCACCAATGCCCCGGTTTTGGGTTTGGGTCAGTGGGAAATAGGGCATTCACTAGGTGTACGATTACATGCATAAACACACACACACACACACACACACACACACATATGTATATATAGATATGTGTGTGTGTGCGTGTGTGTGCGCATGTGTTTGTATGTGTGTGTGTAAACATCTATATCTATCTATGTATCTATCTATGTATCAGCGTGTGTGTGTGTTCACACACGGACACACACATATGTATATATGTATTTTATATACATATATATATGTATATATAATTATATTATATATATATATATATATATATATATATAACATATATTAATATATTGCATATAAATACACACACACACCACACACACACACACACACACACACACACACACACACACACACACACACACACACACACATATATATATATATATATATATATATATATATATATATATATATATATATATATGTGTGTGTGTGTGTGTGTGTGTGTGTGTGTGTGTGTGCGCGCGGCGTAAGTACATATTTATGTGTATATACCGTACGATTGTTTTTTTTTTAGCATACTTGATAACTGATGCTGCTCCTTCAAAGATCACTTAACAGGACCCGAGACGCTTTCAGGTGCGACGATGGCGCGACTCCTCGGCTGCGTGGCCGTGGCGTGTTTCGTGGGCGTGTGTCTGGCCGAGGAGATCCAGGGTCCTCTTCCGACTTCCTGCAGTCACGCCAAGGACCCCCAGCACTGCAGAGGCCTTTTTCAGATCGAGGAAGACGTGGACGATGCTGCGGACGGAGGTGTGGGCGGAGAGGTGGGCGGAGATGCAGAAGACACAGAAGGAGACACAGAAGGAGACGCGGGCGGCGATGTGGGAAGAGACGCGGGCGGAGATGTCTCCCTGGGCGCCCTCGCAGCGTTCCCGATGTACGCCGCGTCTTACCACCTCAGCAAGTACTTCCAGGGCAGCAGCAGGGCCCTGGAGGAGACCCTGCACGACCTCACGCGCATCCTGACCTGCCTGAAGGAGGAGGAATTCACGCCCGACCTCCACCTGAACTGCTTCTTCCCCTTCTACTTCTCGAGGAAGGAGAGCGTGAGGATGTCCCAAAAACTATGGAAATTCACGGGGGCGCTCTTCGAAGGGGACCTCGTGACCCCTTGGGCGGACCTACCCGGGCAGCTGGTCCAGGTCCTCGGCGGGACAGCCCTTCCCTCCGGACCCACACTTTCACCTACAGCTGAACAAGGCGATGAAGGTGCGATGTCTGTACGAGACGACGACGACGACGAGAATCCAAGTCAAGGAAAACCCGAAAACCCGCGTCTGGACGAAATATCCTCCCCTCCCGGACCCACCTTTTCCTTCACAGCCGCCCAGGACTTTGGAAATAACGACGAAAACATCCTAGGTATTCAGGACTTGATTGAACTCACAAGAACCAAAGAAGAAAAAGAAGAAGGAGAAGGAGGAGAAGAAGAACCGAAAGGAGAGGTCACCAGCGAGTCCCCCAACAAACGGCGAGTGAAAAGACAATTTAACGGAGGTGACATCATCTCTGTCTTAGCCATCGTTGTCTTCGGCGCCTTCCTCTTCTACGTCCTCTACTTCCACATCAGCAAGTACCTCCAGGGGCGCTCCTTGGACTCCTACAGGATGGAAGATCACCTGAGACAGATGACGAGGATCCTGATGTGTCTCGAGGAGGAGGATTTCGTTCCCCGTCTGGAGTGCTTCGTCAGTTCGAGAAAATTTTGAGACGAAGAAGAAGACGATAATTACTGTACAGTATAGAGAAGAAACTGAATATGCAAGATCAGTGCGTCGACATAGCAGACTGATGCAGTTATTAGGGAATATGGATATGTAGCTCACATATCATATGAAAATTTATATTTATTACGTGAAAACCGGATGATGTGAGTTGCTTACGAATCATCAGTGAAGTGACAGTATGTTCCGATTTCAAAAGACAGAGTGAATTATTTTCATTTTACTTTTTTTTTTCCCATTCTATTTATTTTCCTCTTTATCTATTCTTGGATTTCGAAGCCTGCACAATCGCAGTGTTCCTAACTGATCTTGCGTGACGTAAGTGATCAGTGTTCAGTCTCACCTTTTATGAACGCAAGGTCTT